AGCTGATCGACAAATTTGTCTGCAACCCGAAAAGCTTATTTCTTCATGCAGCCTTTCTTCGACAAACCAAAGTTTCTCAGTTGCTAAGTCTTAACGGTCCAACCAAAAACGACGGCGATCCCGCAGTGCTTGTCAGAACAGTATTTTTAAATATTTCAACCTTCATATGCAAACTACATCGACGAGAGCTTCACTTGGAACCTAAGAGGAGTCCCAGAAGCGAGCGTTAGCGCTGGGACTCGTATTTCAGAAATTGAAGCGTCTAAACAAGGACCATATATGTTTGTGTGGATACATGCACATGCAATCAAACAATGCACCCAAGGGTTATGGAACATGTGCGTAGATGGCTTTGAAACCAGTTAGTTTCAAATGTTCTGATAAACGTGAGAAGTAAAAGACCAGGTTCATCGATAGCAAAGCACAACTGAAACGGGGCATAGAATCGAAATCAATACAGCTTTTAAAGTTACATAAGGAAATTGCCAAGGACGAATTCTTAGACTTGAAGAAGCTTTGGTTATTAGCAAATTCAAACCCCCTTTATGTGCACAGAAACAAATAATCGTAACCTTGAATTTGCCCTGGTAATCCCAGTTATTTTATGGCCTAGGATAATGAGACAATTTCCTGTTCGTCCCATACTGTGTTAATTTTCTTTCTCTGCTGTTTACATTTATCATTTTGTCGACTTGAACTCTCCCTTATTTGACCCTTATTAATTTTCACATAAAGTGCCTTAAAAAGTATGTGTGTGACTAGATTGTTATAGAGCAAATAAGTTACACTTTTCAAGTCAATTTCGTCTTCTCTGTATTCAACCAATACTTAGACACTTTTTCTGCCCCGGATATGGTTCACTCTGCTATACAGGGAAAAGCGGTCTCGATCTTGACAACACTGCTTAATGTGATGTTTTCATATTCGCTAAGCCAGGACACGGCTACAGAAATTTGGGAGCTGGAGCACATTACACCAGTTTTCAAAGGAGGCCAAAGCAATGGATCTTTAAGCTACTGGCCGATAGCACTTCTCTTAAGACCCTTAAAAAGTCCTTGATATACGAGGGTCTGCGCGAATACTGGTTATCTACACTTATTTTTACCACAGAAACACGGTTCCAGGAAGGGCCACTTGTATAACAATCTGCTGACTGCGGTGGACAAATGAAAAGCCATCCTTGGTCGTAAAGGGAAGATTGATATGATATATCTTGACTTCTCAAGAGACTTGACAGGGCCAATTATATATGTCTCATCGATAAGTTCAAACTGTTAGGCGTCAAGTCACTGTTGATAGACTGGCTTACTTAATATCGAAATAATCGACACAATAAAGTTTAATTTTCCCCAGGCTACAGAATGTTCTAGTGGGACCCTCCTGAGCCTAATACTAGAACGTAATCCTTCTGCTTCACATAGGTGGCCTCCTCCAGCAAGTATCGTATAACGACGTTAAACTTCGGAAAGAAGTTTGCAATAAAGATAAGCTGGAGCTCCAGATGGATACAAATCGACTTCCAAGTTTTATTCAGAGTATGGAAAGTGTTTCCTCTTTCACTCCAAAAGCATATGAATACACTGGAACGTACCTGAAGGCAGGCTACGAGAACCCAAATCCAAACCTTACGAAGAGCGCCTCAAATCACTGGACGTTTATCAATTAGAGTATAGGCTTCTAAGAGGTAGCCTTTCAATAACTTGCAGCATCCTAACTACTCAAAACACTTAAGTAGTCTCAACACAAATCTTAGGGACGATATCCTCTATTTTGACCACAATCATTTGAACATGGACCTGCTACTATCTAATCTGAACGAGCCCTACATTACCAAGCGATATTGGAAAATTTTTAATTAAGACTAAACCTTACCTCATCTTTTAAAAAAGCACACGTATTCCCACAAGAATGACACTGGCGTGGCTCACCAAATCTGTTTCTGTAGTGTAAGCACCTCTGGCAAACCAAGGCACTCCCAAAAGCAGTTTTTAAATTGCATATGGAACAAGACTGAGGCTCGTCGTACTTGCTTTTAAGAGATTGACAGTGTGGGCAGATACCGCCGCAGCTTAGGAAAGCTCACGACTAAACTGCATTTTTGCAACGTACACCTATAAATTCAGATTCAGATTTGTGTAGTAAGGACAGAAGACCTACGGCCAATGTTATTCCTTTTCTAGTATGTTTCTGTGAGTGCTCAGTCTTCTCTTGAAAGAGTCAATTGAAGGTGCGGACACCACTGCTTCAGGCAGCAGGTTCCAAGTATTGATGACACGGTGTGAAAACCTGTATGCCACGGGTATTTTGTTCGTTCTTGGCTTTTCTACTCGCCTGCTATGTCCTCTGAGGTGTCCCGACCTAGTGGAAAGAAAGAGAGAGAATAAGTTAGGTCCGAAATCGTTTCTCAGTATTCTGTACATCAAAATTAAACCTCCCCTTAGTCTGCGATAGGACAGAGTAAAGAGGTCCATTTTTTCAAGCCGCTCTTTGTATGAAAAACCCAGGAGTTCCGGAATTGCACGGGTAGCTGCCCTCTGTACTTTTTCTAGTATATCCGAGTCACTTTTTAAGCAGGGGCTTGAAGCCTGAACGCAGTTCTCTAGCCTAGTTATCACTAAGGATGTGTATACTGTGGTGAACATGGTAGTATCCAACTTACTGAATGCTTTTTTAAAGCCCAGAGGGTTCCAAACCCCTTGGCTGCGACCTCCCGGCAATGGGCCGTCGTCTTAAGATCATTACTCACTGTCACCCCTAGATCCTTATGAGACCGGACTACTGGTAATGACACATCCCCTATGTTGTACGTATTAACCTTTGAATCCCCCATGTGCATGTAGACACACTTTTCCGAGTTGATAGGCATCAGCCACTCCCTGTACCAGTTTATCATACTATTATTCAGCGTGTTGTGAAGAAAGAATTCATGTTTTTGAAAATTATTCATCAAATCTGAGCTATGTGGTGCCAGTTCACTTCTGTGATTAAAGATGTTCTCTGGACTTTTAGGTTATACAAGAGCAACAGAGCGACGTTTATTTTCCCAACCGCATCTCAGTGTATAGGATTAAGGATAGCGGATCAACCTTTATTACGGTACTATAATTGATAGTGAAATAGAAATACTTTCCAGACCTGGACATCTCAGAAATCATAGTGACGATGTCACAGGTATTCAGTGTTTGACAACGCTTCTACCAGTAACACCTTCTAATATATTTCGTTCCCGCCCAGAGAAATCAAAAGACAGAGTCGAGGAGATCGGAAGAGTATATTTGGCGATGACCAATATATCGGAATTCTCTGATCTAATCTGGCTAGCGATTGCGGTTGATGTTGAGCACGGCGTTACCACACGTGATCTGGTGCGGATGCCTGACCGAGCGCCTTCAGCTAGGTGAGTTCACTAAAACATATGGTCAGCATCCAATGTCGAAAACTTACAGAGCTATTTATTTTGGGGATTTATTTACCGCTACAATAGAAATCAGACTAGTTGCCTAGTTGGCTCACATCACACCAATTTTCAAAGGTGGTCGACTCAATGAACCTTCAAGTTATCGCCTGGTGGCTCTTCTGTCTCATTACCTTCAAAACTCATGGAGTCCCTGATATGCGACGGTTTAAACGACTATCTACTGTCCTTAAATTTCTTCTCACCCCAAGAGCATGGTTTCAGGAAGGGTTACTCTTGTATGACCAACCTGCTGACTGCGGTGGACAGATGGACAAGGATCCCCGATTGCAAGGGAAGGGTTGATGTCATTTACCTTGATTTCTCAAAAGCTTTTGATAAGGTTAACCACTTGTGTCTTATCAACAATCTCAAACGACTAGGTATCAAACCACCTCTAATCGACTGGCTTACTTCATACCTAAAAAATCGACACTTTAAGGTTAGGGTTAATTTCACTTTATCTCAGGCTATGGAATGTCCTAGTGGGGTCCCCCAGGGCTCAGTACTAGGGCCTCTTCTCTTCTTGATCTACATAAATGTTCTTCCTCAACAGGTAACGTCAGACTTATTACTTTTTGCCGACGACGTGAAACTTTGGAGAGAGAGATACGCAACCAAGACGATATATAGGCACTTCAGGAGGATCTGACTCGACTTCAAAGTTGGGCAGACGATAACGGACTTACCTTTAACACTTCAAAGTGTAAAGTAGTTCATCTGCGACATGTCGCAAACTACAGTTACAACTTAGGAAACTCCTCTCTAGTAGTATCCCAAGTTGAAAAAGATTTAGGAGTCCTGGTGCCCCATGATTTAAAGTCTTACGTTAACTGTGATAAAAATGCCTTTCGAGCAAACCTTGCACTGGTAAAGTTGAAGCGCATTTTTGGACAGTTTGACGGACGAACTTTTTATACAATCTTCAATAGTTTCATCCGTCCCCATTTAGATTACGGAAACATAGTACTCCCCCTCACTCCAAAAGGATAAGGACACCCTGGAGCGTATCCAACGGCGAGCCACGAAATCAGTTCGAGGACTCAAATCTAAGCCTTATGAAGAGCGCCTTCAATCACTAGACCTTTACCCATTAGAGTATAGGCGCCTTAGAGGTGACCTTCCAATGGCTTACAGTATCCTTAACACTTCTGGACATCCTCTTAAACACCTACTTAAGCTTAGTTCGAATAATAACCTAAGGGGTAACACCCAGAAACTGGAAACACAGCATAGCAAGACGGAATGTAGACACAACTTCTACTCCTTAAGAGTTGTCAAAAGCTGGAATTCTCTGCCGGTCGAGCTAGTCCAAGCGACTTCTCAGGAGTCCTTCAAGAGGCAACTTGACCTATTCTTAAGGACCAAGGACAGCATCACACTATGATTTACCAATTTCTTTTCCTCTTTTATTGTTAACATACCTAGGTTCCTGCCTGGAGGATTTGGTGATCCCCTGCTACTAGACACGGAAGCCTGTTAAGCGAAAGCTTCTTCTATTCCGTCCACAACCATTTGAACCATTTGAACCATTTGCCTATTGAATGGCGGGAACATGTGAAGGGTGTCACTTCTGGACGTTCCGTTTATTTGAACGTTGATTTGAGTTTTGGGTGTAAGTTGTCTCGTATAATCTTACTGGGAGTCCGATTATTCTTGTTTTGTTGTGTCGTAGATCATAAAGCATTAGTTATAAACTCGCTTACTAGAGTTGCTGATCGACCACATACCAATAAAAGTGAATTCGACACCCTTCAGTGCAATCATAATGGATCAACCTTTATTTTCTTGCACAAAATGTCTGCAAAATTTCCCACAGTCTGAGATGTCCAGGTCTGGACAAGCATGCAAAGTATTTCTATTTCACTACCCATTCTAGTGCCATAATGTTTAGAAGTGCAGTCCTCACCACTCTACATTCAAACAATGCGAATATTGCAAATCTGACTTTAAATACAATGTGTAAGTTACAGAAACTCAGTTTATTCTTGGGGTTTCCTAAGTTGCGGCGGTATCTGCCCACACTGTCAATCTCTTAAAAGCAAGTACGGCGAGCCTCAGTCTTGTTCCATATGCAATTTAAAAACTGCTTTTGGCAGTGCCTTGGTTTGCCAGAGGTGCTTACACTACAGAAACAGATTTGGTGAGCCACGCCAGTGTCATTCTTGTGGGAATACGTGTGCTTTTTTAAAAGATGAGGTAAGGTTTAGTCTTAATTAAAAATTTTCCAATATCACTTGGTAATGTAGGGCTCGTTCAGATTAGATAGTAGCAGGTCCATGTTCAAATGATTGTGGTCAAAATAGAGGATATCGTCCCTAAGATTTGTGTTGAGACTACTTAAGTGTTTTGAGTAGTTAGGATGCTGCAAGTTATTGAAAGGCTACCTCTTAGAAGCCTATACTCTAATTGATAAACGTCCAGTGATTTGAGGCGCTCTTCGTAAGGTTTGGATTTGGGTTCTCGTAGCTTGCCTTCAGGTACGTTCCAGTGTATTCATATGCTTTTGGAGTGAAAGAGGAAACACTTTCCATACTCTGAATAAAACTTGGAAGTCGATTTGTATCCATCTGGAGCTCCAGCTTATCTTTATTGCAAACTTCTTTCCGAAGTTTAACGTCGTTATACGATACTTGCTGGAGGAGGCCACCTATGTGAAGCAGAAGGATTACGTTCTAGTATTAGGCTCAGGAGGGTCCCACTAGAACATTCTGTAGCCTGGGGAAAATTAAACTTTATTGTGTCGATTATTTCGATATTAAGTAAGCCAGTCTATCAACAGTGACTTGACGCCTAACAGTTTGAACTTATCGATGAGACATATATAATTGGCCCTGTCAAGTCTCTTGAGAAGTCAAGATATATCATATCAATCTTCCCTTTACGACCAAGGATGGCTTTTCATTTGTCCACCGCAGTCAGCAGATTGTTATACAAGTGGCCCTTCCTGGAACCGTGTTTCTGTGGTAAAAATAAGTGTAGATAACCAGTATTCGCGCAGACCCTCGTATATCAAGGACTTTTTAAGGGTCTTAAGAGAAGTGCTATCGGCCAGTAGCTTAAAGATCCATTGCTTTGGCCTCCTTTGAAAACTGGTGTAATGTGCTCCAGCTCCCAAATTTCTGTAGCCGTGTCCTGGCTTAGCGAATATGAAAACATCACATTAAGCAGTGTTGTCAAGATCGAGACCGCTTTTCCCTGTATAGCAGAGTGAACCATATCCGGGGCAGAAAAAGTGTCTAAGTATTGGTTGAATACAGAGAAGACGAAATTGACTTGAAAAGTGTAACTTATTTGCTCTATAACAATCTAGTCACACACATACTTTTTAAGGCACTTTATGTGAAAATTAATAAGGGTCAAATAAGGGAGAGTTCAAGTCGACAAAATGATAAATGTAAACAGCAGAGAAAGAAAATTAACACAGTATGGGACGAACAGGAAATTGTCTCATTATCCTAGGCCATAAAATAACTGGGATTACCAGGGCAAATTCAAGGTTACGATTATTTGTTTCTGTGCACATAAAGGGGGTTTGAATTTGCTAATAACCAAAGCTTCTTCAAGTCTAAGAATTCGTCCTTGGCAATTTCCTTATGTAATTTTAAAAGCTGTATTGATTTCGATTCTATGCCCCGTTTCAGTTGTGCTTTGCTATCGATGAACCTGGTCTTTTACTTCTCACGTTTATCAGAACATTTGAAACTAACTGGTTTCAAAGCCATCTACGCACAAACATATATGGTCCTTGTTTAGACGCTTCAATTTCTGAAATACGAGTCCCAGCGCTAACGCTCGCTTCTGGGACTCCTCTTAGGTTCCAAGTGAAGCTCTCGTCGATGTAGTTTGCATATGAAGGTTGAAATATTTAAAAATACTGTTCTGACAAGCACTGCGGGATCGCCGTCGTTTTTGGTTGGACCGTTAAGACTTAGCAACTGAGAAACTTTGGTTTGTCGAAGAAAGGCTGCATGAAGAAATAAGCTTTTCGGGTTGCAGACAAATTTGTCGATCAGCTTTATCTAATACTGAAGCCTATCTTCTCTTATCGTGCTTGTGCATCAGTTTATTGCTTGTTTGAACTGCCTATATTTAATGTCGTCACTAGTCCATTTTTATTCCCCTCAGTAGTACCTTCCAAGTTTTAGCACTCTAAGTGTGCGACTATTTATGACTGTGGGTTGCTTGTAACTTTTGGGGACCGTTTGTGGAACAGAATGGCTAGTATAATGTAAGATCGTGTGCAGCAAGAAACACATGTGAATGTCTAAATTGAGTTGAGGGAAGGCAACCAAATCCACATGTTGTACATTGTTGTTTAGGGCTGACGAGTTTATCCGCTTAAAATTGCAGCTGTTGTCAGTAGGATGTTCGAGCTCCATTTTGCTAGTAAAATAGTGGCTATGAAAGTGTGATCACTTCTTCCCAGCGGAGTCAGGATTGTGAGTTTGTCAATTAGTAATTCTTCGTTTGTAACGGTTCGGTCTGAACGTAACGTCGTCTGGTTGTTTGTTCACAGAGTTGCTAAATTCACTTTTCAAAACAGTCTCAACTCTTCAGTCAGATCGAAGAACCCAACTTCAATAGTATTATTACTTCCATTGTACGTGTGTTCAGTTATGTGTACTTTACGAAGATTGATATATCCCAAGATTAGGATGTGAGTCTTTTGAAGATGAATAACGTGAGATGGTTCTATTACCACTATTTCGACTTGGAAAAGTAGTTCCTGGATCGCTACTTATCATTGTGATGCGTTTGCTATTAAGTTAATTCAAACTTTTATTTCGGTGCAAAATGTATGAATAAATGATTAATTTCCGGATTAAAATAATTTTGTGAGTAGTCACTTACAGCACTTGCACGTATTTCACACTGGAAATTTTTGTCGTGTTATTGCAAGAAGTTCATCTAAACAATCCAACTATCTATTTCAATCAAAAGGTATTAACACATTGTTTTGTGGGTATAATAGCTTTTTTCGTTAATATGAAGGCAGTATCTAATTGATAAACCTATGCCTATGCTCATTATTGGTAGCTAAATTTATTAATTATTTTGTGTTTACTGTGACGACGTTTTTGTTTTCCGATATTCTCTGAAGCATCATTCTTCACTAAAATTACTGTTGAGACAATTTTCAAATCCGTATATTTTTTCCTCGTTTATTTGTATAGGCCAGCCGAGAGAAAGTTGATGGACAGATTCTTTGTTGGGTGTGTACATACAATTTTAAATTAGCTCGATCTAAAGAACGCTCTATTCATGGATTCAACAAACGTCGACATGATGGTTCGAGATCAAGTCATAAGTAAGCCGGCCATTTTCTTTTTCCGCTCGCCATGTAATTAAAGTGCTAGAACTCAGGTTTCTGGTCGATTTCAATAGTATTTTACAAAGCTCTAAACATCAAATAAATAAATAATGTCAATCTCAAGCTCTTTTAGAAACCGGTAGAGAAATATGTATCAGTGAATTGTTTCTTGATTCATTTCCTATATTCATGAATAGTTCACGGTTGCCTATGACTGTCTGACTGAATAGCCCATTGTTACAGGCAAATTTCTTTTCAAAGTCACAAAATTGAGCCAAGCAAAATGAAAGTGGCGATATTTTTAGAATTTAAATGACCCCCATCCATTGATCTTGTGCTTAGATATCTACTTACGTCAAACAAGTACTGAGGGCTTAAATACTTTCTGACCTAACAACTACTAACATCATACCAACTGTAGACACACCAATCACTACTGAAGGTTAGTGGCCAAATACTGTTGCTTTTATCGGAATAATTAAGCTCGGATTATGTTTTAGTTCATATACATGTTTATCTTTGCTTTAATAAACATAGAAATTTCAACGAAAAGGTTGCTTTAAAAAGGGTTTTACTAGGTGGAGGGGCTGATAAAACGCAGTCTTCCATATAACTTGGGTGATAGTACAAGAATTTCCAGAATATCTCTCATCCACTGCGTCCAGAGTGTTACCTCAGAAGTGCTCTACTTTAATTCTTAGTTTGGAGGTATGGTGAAGCAATGGAGACATTTGGTCACTCCACTTTAAGAGTAATTAAGTGGTGGGTTATGGTAGATGATATCTGAGAAAACACAAAATGCTCATCCTGCTTTTATCACTTTATACCAGTAATGACGCAGGAGAAATATCTAAATACCCAATATAAGACGAATATTTTATGAAGTCCGCACAATGCTCTTTGACTGGTAGGGATGTTTACCCAAGGCAGATATCTGTAAGTCAAAAATATTCACGTTTGCCTCTGAAACAACATCCCCTCTTTATAGATTGTCAGAGCATTCGGTGCTTGCCCAGTTACTATCTAGTGCGTCAAGTTCCGCCGGCTAAGATGGAAGTGGATCAAGGACCGTTGCTACCCAGACAAAAGCAGCTGCAGTCCACAACATCAATGAGTGATCTTCTGACCCGTGTGGGGAATTTCGGGTTTATTGTGTCTCATTCTATGAGATCGTGTCATATCGAGTTCAGTATTTCTATGTCTGCTAGAATGTTTATTTGATGACCCATGTGAATTTTTAAAAATAATATTCCTTAATTCTTTAAAATAAAAGGTTGGAAACTTAGTGCCCATATTTCGTTTTCTAAACAATTTAAAAAGCTGTATTCACATAAACTTTTGAATTTTAGCTCTCTTAAAAAGACTTATACCGATGGGTTTGGAACAAGGCAAATTGACACGCAGATGCATGTACAACAGGCTTTAACTACTCAAGCACTAAGGTGAGTAATAGGTCATTGAGTAGGATTTATGTGTATATGCAATCGCTAATTGTGTGGTCATATGGAATGCTAGTGACTTATGAGTTTGTTAAAAACTAAGCAATTCCCAATAGGTGCTAATGCTGTCAGACGTACCAGGACAACGCACCTGAGTTTGAATGTATTTAAAAGACTATTTTGGTTTCTCGAAATATTTATATATGAAAATAAATGAATAATAAGGGGTTCTACAACAAATAATTGTTAGTTTACGTTAAACTAATTCAAGGTAATTAACTCATCAATAACAATTAATCTCAACGCATACTGGCACATATGTGTGGCTAAACAGATAAGAAGAGTTAACCAATAAGGAAATAGTTCACAATTGATAAAATGCGAGCTATTAAAGTCTAGTTGCTCACAAGTAATATAGTTATAATACATACATTTCAAGAACCATGTGCTGTGAAATACTTTCTCGTTAGAGATAAATGCACTGTTTAGACTAAAACGTCCTTGGGGATTATATGAATACGGTCGGATCACTCAATGAGCTTTTGTTCGACCCATCAACGACTATATTTCTTCTAAACTATGTTTCTCATTGCTGTCTATGCTTCTTACTAACTCACTTGCCTGGTAATTAGAAATAAGCCGCGCTAATAATTTACTACTTGGTTACCCAAACCGAAGTAGGTGAAGTGGGATTCAAATTCCCGACCAGAGATCCCTAAGCAAAACTGTCTTAGAATCTCCTTTCCAAGTTTGCCAAGTTCTCGACGCCCTGTGATCCTCGATTTATCACTTTCCCGTTTGCCTGAGAATTTCAAGTTAGGACTTGCCTCTTGATTCAGTTCAGTGGTTTCTACAGTGTCTTACCCACCCAACGCTTTTTCTTAATTTTCTTAACTGGAAGTCAGTTTCTTCTCAGTCAGAGTATGTTATTGCTGATGGTCTGTAGCCAATGGATCCGGAGTATCTTGCGTAGACACCCGTTTATAAACATCTGTACCTCACTATGGTGGTTGTGGTAGTTCTCCAAGTCTCAGCTCTTTACGATATAAAACTGCTTTGACGTTAGTGTTGAAAATTGTGACTTTAGTATTGAGTTCCAGATATTCTTCAGTTGTAGGAATGCTACCCTTGGTTTGTTGATTAGTGCTTTCACGTCCGAATCAGATCCTCCTTGTTTATCGATGTCGCTGTCTAGGTAGTGGGGGTTCCTACTTCTTCCAGAGCTTCGCCATCAAGTGTGATTTGGTTGGTGTTCATTGTTTTGCGTTTCACGATCTTTCTTTTTCTCTTGTGAATGTGTTATAACCCAAAGCCGCCAATCAGAAGCAGCGAATTATCGATTGGACCAAGGACGCGTAAAACACGTGCGAGCAGCCTAGAGTTCTGATTGGTCCTGCTTTCCGCCTAACCCAGCCAGTTAAGTCCAGAACATCAGTCTCAGCCTCGTTATATTTCAAATATACTGAGTTTGTATATCAATCAAACAGACGACAACGTAGGATAAAATAGAAAATAACATTTGTACAAAATATGGCCAAATGTGGCTGTGAATGTGGGAGGCGGTGACTAACAGACGGCATAATTCAAGAATGGTAAAACGTATAATAATGGTTCATAGGTCAAAATAAATCTTATAATAAGAGGAACATAAATATGAATAGTTTAGTTATTTAACAATTATACGATAAAAATATACGTTTAGTATTGGTCCATAAAAGGATCCCAAAGTTACCATTCATTATGTTTCTCGGGACCTAACAGAATGTTGAGGCCTATTTCTATGGAAGAGGCTAGTACATTGGGTATATTCGTCTGCATTTGTTTCCGTGTATGCAACCGGGGGTCTGAGTCATCTCCAAAGTCCATATCGTCCAGTTGTGTCCACGGTATTCTATGCTCCTCCTTAGATATACGGGTTCTCATTATTCAGTCGACAGATGGCAGCAAGAAAATGGACGAAAATATGGAGCCTTTTTGACACCGGTCCGCAGTTGAAATACGTCTTGTAACTGTTCTCCACTCGCAGCTTTGCAGTCCAATCCTTTGTAAGGGTTCCGTATGAAGGTGACATTCTTCTTATTCTGCATTGACTGATGTCTTCTCTTCCCCATCTCTTAGATATTTATCAGGCTATTTGCATCCTTTATATCGACGCTTTTTGCTAACCACCACCTTCAAAAAGAGTTCATGTCGCTCCTTGAACAAATATCGGGGGATAAGTCTACTTCCGATTGCGTCCAAGCTATTGGTTTCCTTCATACTTCGTAGGTTGTTCAAAACCCGAGAAAGATTGACTCGCGAGAAGCAGGCTGGTTTTCGTTCCGGTCGGGGGTGTATTGATCATATCTTCATCCTCCGCTAAATGTTAGAACACCGTCATACTTATTAAAGGCCAACAGTCGTCGTGTTTCTTGACATCAGGGCTGCCTTCGATTCGTTGGACAGGACTGTTCTCTGGGATCGTCTATTGAAGAGGGGTGTGCCTGAGAAGTTTATTAACATCCTAAAGGCCCTATATACAAACACCTCAGGCAGATTGAAGGCATACAACTACCTCTCTCCACTGTTCCATTTAAGCATTTGAGCATACTGTTGCAAGTAAGTATCGAACCGAGCTAGCTTCTAGGCTAGCATTTGAGCATTCGGATGATATTGTCTTACTGTGCGATAATACCCAAGCTATGCAATCCGCACCCAATCAGTTGGCAATCAATGTCCATGGGTATGGAATGTGCTTTGCACCTTCGAAGTGCAAAGTACTTCTACAAGACTGGCAGGATTCTAATCCTGTACTCACCCTAGATGGTGAGCAGATAGAAGTAGTCGAGAAGTTCGTGTATCTAGGTAGCTGCATAAGTGCTGGTGGTGGCGTGAGTGATGAGATCAATGCACGTATAGTGAAAGCCAGAGCGGCTTATGCCAATCTGGGCCATCTTTGGCACCTTCGTGATGTTAGTCTGGCTGTAAAACGTCGGATCTACAACACGTCGATGAGAGCAGTTTTGCTCTATGCTTGTGAAACCTGGCCTCTCCGAGTTGAGGATGTTAGACAACTCTCTGTGTTCGATCATCACTGTCTCCGAAGGATTGCTGACATCCAGTGGCAGCACCATGTTAGTAATGCAGAGGTTCGGCATCGTGTGTTCTGGCGCAGATAATCCGATTGGTGTCACCATCTTGAAACACCGACTTCGGTGGCTTGGACATGTTCTACGAATGTCGTCCCAGAGAATTCCACGTCGAGCATTATTTGCCGACGCTGGGACTGGTTGGAAAAAGCGGAGAGGTGGTCAGTGTATGACATGGTGTCGTGGTATGAAAGAAAGCTGCAAAGGGCTGTCTTGTGTTGGTCCTTCACGACTCCCTGGCTGGGGTCCGAGAGATGGTGCGACACAGTGGCTAGAGACGTTATCAGATATGGCTCAGAATAGAAACCAGTGGCGATCCTGCTGTAACCTTCTTTTACTTTCTTCATAAAAAATGGTTGTTTCTTCCTTAACTGAAAGATTTCTTCCGATTGTACCTTTCTGTTTCCCCCATTATTATTATTATTATTATTATCATTATTATTATTATTATTATTATTATTATTATTATTATTATTATTATTATTATTACACTTCCTTACACTAGTCTGGTCGTTATTGTTCCTCTTCGTCTTTTTTTTCTTTTGCGATCCTTACCTTTTTTTCTACCCGTTCTCATTGTTTTGTGTGGCGTATATATATTTGGTGCCCCTTGTACCAATATTTATGTGTTCAAATAAATAAATACCCACCACCTCCTAGTATGTTGAAGTTATTGCTTTTCAGATCCTTTTCCAGTCCTACACAATGGTTTCCACTTGTTCTAGTAGGCCTTGTAAGGCCTGGAACTAATTACTGTGAGCTATCATGAATTCAGTGAATTTTTTAGTATCTCAAAAAACGTTTTATTGACTTTTTGTAGTGTTGTTTGTCCAACTGTCCAATACCTCCTTTGCCTTAGTTTTAGTTCAGCCACTACCAGATGGTGGTCTACAGCTATACGAGTTCGTTTCTTTGTTCTTTCGTCTTCTGTTGGCCTCCTGATGCAGGTTTAATCGATCTGGTTCTCCCTAATGTCGTCCGGTGGAGCACATGTACCTCGATGTATATAGTTGAAAGGCAAAATGCTGCTGCCTATAACCACATTGTTAGAAGCACATAAATCCGCAAGTCTCACTACTCGTTCTATCCTCCCAGTCCGTGTTGCCCCATAACGCTTTCCTATCCTGTGTTGTCCATCACGAGACGTCAGATTCCCTATCAGGATGGTCAGGTATTTTCCTTAGCAGTCCTCTTCGACGGACTGCAGCCTCCCATAAAACTGATCATCATTTTTGCTGCTATCATTGGTAGATGCGTTACACTGAATGACATCCCTTGCAATCCCTTCTTTTATCTTGAAGAGTGCTTTAGTGATCCTAGAGCTATGAGATTCCCATCTTATAAGCGCTTTTGGTGCTTCCTTGAAGAACATCAGTGCACGTCCTTATTTATTTATTACTTACTTCTCGAGGTGCACAGAACAAGCTGTGAAACACATATGGAGAAATTCGAACACTTCACTTCTATCTGAAGTTTGTGCTGATGATGTCGTTCAGAAGAACGATGAAAGCTCCACGACCAAACCATCCAGCTCAGAAAACAAAACACCACCAAAATCATCCACCTGAGCTACAAATCTTCTCCACCATCTCAATTACTTATTAACTTTGATTCAGTAAACTTCTCTTACATCTTACACTGTTTATGGTTAACATTACTTACGCCTGTTACTCCTAATGAAGCATAGGCCGCCGACCATCATTCTCCAACCCATTCTGTCCTGGGCCTTCTTTTCCAATTTCATCCAATTCTTGTTCATTTTTCTCAAGTCTATCTCCGTTTCCCGGCGTAATGTGTTCTTTGGTCTTCCTCTTTTCCTTTGGCCTTGAGGATTCCATATGAGGGCTTGTCTTGTGACGCCATTGGGTGCTTTCCTCAATGTGTGTCCTATCCACTTCCAGCGCTTCTTCCTCCGCTGGGATCTGGTGTGTTCTTCCCCACACTTGGTTGTTGCTAATAGTGTCCGGCCAACGAATCCGAAGAAAAACAATAACGAACAGATTAGTGTAATGTAGTGTAATAATAGTAATAATGGGGGAAACTGAAAGGTACAGTCGGAAGAAATCTTTCAGTTAAGGAAGAAACAACCATTTTTTTATAAAGAAAGTAAAAGGTTACAGCAGGATCCAATCGATTAGTACTGCCTCAGCTCTAGCGCTTAGTGCGACACCAACGCCAGCAAGACCAGACGAAGATGTCACAAGGTCACAAAGGTCACAAGGTAAACGCACGTAAAACAAGCTTCTTGAAGCGACAGATGGAGAGCGAATTTGTAGTACTTCACCAGAGTCTTGAACATGGGTGTCGGATAGACAACAAACGTTGATATTAAGACTTTGCAAAGACATAGCCAGCCCCATCTGTTGTCCAACCTGTATAAGTGTGCGAACGTTGAAGGCAGCCAGTTTGAATGGTGCACGTGGTTTCAGAGAAACTGCTTCAGTATTCGTATTTGGTGGTAACATACAATTTTCAAATGGACAGTGACTCGAGAACGTTTAGATAGAGTCGAATTTCCACCACAGACGAGCTGCTGTATAAGTCGAAAAAATAAGTATAGACAGAGTACGAATAAAATAGGGTGAATAATGATGTAGTAAATAATAATAATAATGTGAATCATATGATTGTTAATCGAGGTAAGAAAAGTATTTTCCATAATTATCGACAGTTCACCACCGGAGCGGGTAGTTTTCTTAGGGGGCCAAACCCCGAGCCTTTGACCTAAAGGTGTAACCCACAAGGCAGTGGAGCATCGTGAGGAGATGCAGTCCAATGGTAGCCGGTGACCAACAATTGATTCATACTCCATTTGTTCCCTCAGGATACTGGAGCCCATGTGCACCATTGATTTTGTTTGGAATCCGGTTAAAGCGTCGGACATTCGCTTTTCGTTCACTCATTTTCGTAAACAACACCCCCGTCACGAGAAGGCAGCGAATAGGACTTCCATGGTAGAGGCTGTGTACACGTGGCCATACCAGGGCATTTGCGGGCGCAGCTGCTTATGTGTGCAGACCATTTTATTCTTCATGACTAGAATATAATAGCATATCCCCCGAAGCTAGTCTTTTCTGTCCGGTTTTTGTCGAATAGGTTTAAGCCCTTCCAAGCACATCCGCTACTTAAATGCCTCTCCCGCTTCCCCACATTGTCCGAACATCCCGTGTGCTTACATTAATTGTTGCTACTGTTATCAGAAAAAGGGTTATTCTTGTGTGGTTTTATCCTGCTCCAGTATATTTAGTCAGGGAATACCGGTTATTCAAGCTGTGCAAAAAGATTTCGCTCATGTAAATATGATGGTTATTAGCAAATACAAAAAGAAAAATATCAATTCACACACTTGTAAGTTTACATTCATTTTGTTGCCTGAAGTCATACTAAGACTTGCCAAATTAAACATCTTCAAAGATAATTTGATTATAATGCCTTTTTTTATTTATTTGAGTCTACATTATAACCTTAGCCATAAAAAAATTAGATGAAGTATTAGTCCCTTAGATAAATTTTGATAGTGTATTAAGAATACAAATATTATCAGAACTATGTAACATATTAGCGCAAACATCCGGAAAGTGAGAAATTACGCGTTGCGTTTCTATACTGCTAGTACGTTTAGTAGCGTTCCAGACCTTTCCGGAAGCCCAAGGTAATTAAAATACCATAAATACCCTAGATTTTTTGTACATAGGCAAACCTTGGAGTAAAGCGTTTATTCCATATTTCTCTCGTTTTAAATCGCTGTGTAGATTTAGCCTGGGGATTACTAGAAGAGCTTAGGTACTGAATCTAGCATTCAATTCGAAGACTTATCAGTCAGGTTAAAAATTAAGTTTCTCTATGATATTAAAATCTGAATGCCATGTCTATCCTAAGTATCTTAATCCCCATCTTGATATTAATAGATATTATTCATATTTCCACATTTACTTAACCCTATTTTCATTAATTTAGCTTAGATTCTGTGTACAATGAACACTTACTTACTATAAGCCAGTTACAAGATGAGATCAAATCACTCAAGCGTCAATTAACACTTAAAGACTCTGACTTGTTAACCAAAGATCGTACAATAGCAGAGTTACGCTCTGAAATGATTGAAATAAAATCAATGAATGAAGATCGTGTCCGAAAAATAAAATCAGCTGCACAGCTTGAACAAGATCGGATGCTAGTAAGTCGGTTTTCTTCTCAACTGTGTAGTGCATTGATTTTCTCAAATATATTTTTAACAATCAAACTTCTGATCCATCTGATGAAGCAGTCAGACTAAAAAAGAGAATCAAGCCGTTTGTTTTCTGTTCAGTCAATTGTTTATAACTTGAAATAATTATAAGCTTTTTATTTGGGATTTTTTTGAAATATTTGTACATCAATAATAAGTTTTGTTGTATTTTGGACATCATGGATACTTGCTTCCTAGTTCCTGAAAATCTAGCTCTGTCGAACCGTAAACAAAAATTGCAGAAGGGTTACTTCGAGCGTTAGGTTGTGAACAGTTTTTAGATATTAAATGTTTCTGAAAACAAAACGAAGTTAGTAAAACAACTTAGTGATTATCTAATCAGAATAAGGAAAGGACGATTAGCTGATTCCTAGGTTTTTCTGCGAAGTTTCCAATAAGCGTTAGTTGGTTAAAGCACTTTCGGCTTTTTCCTTTGTCTCTGCAGAACTTCGTAAAGAACAATCGAAAACTATCAATTTTAAACATGACTCTAATTTTTTCACTCAGCATTTGACCGTACTTTGTCTCCTTTTTTTCCAGGCTACAATACGTCAGTTACAAAAAGAGAAGGCAATTATTAGTCATAATATTAAACGTCGTAAAATTAATAACAATCTCTCAAAAATTACAAACCGAAATTCTTTGTCTTCGACAACTTTATTCAATCCAGACTCACCGCTTAGTTTCGGCTTTGCGAAACGAGTTTCCAAGCCTCTAGTACTTGAAAGCCAAGATAAAGAACGTGGAGGCGAGGAAACATTGTCTTACTCAGATCGAGTATCGAAAAATACACTGGACTCAACAAGTCGTTCAGTGAAAAGACAACTTACACCTGACTGTATTGGTGTACAAATTTACGATGAAGACTCTAACTTAGCACCTCAACGTACAGTTACTTCTGGCATAAGACAAAACGCAGGTTCACCAGGTATTACTTCAAGTATATCATCCAAACCTCCTACAGATGATGAAGAAGCATCTCAACCGTGTCAATATGATCCTCATGAAATATCTGGAAAAAACCCTCTTGGGTTGGATACGCCATCGGAGTCTGAAAATGAAACTCCCGACTGAAACTTTTCGTGGAATATCAATATTTTGACTCTTCACTTCTGTTTCACATAAAAAAATGTAGACAATCACTGTTTTTTGTAACACACTACATCTGCATTTTAGTAAGACGTTTAATTTTCAAGTGGTCTGTTTTTATAACGTCTTTGTCACATTCATTTTTGCCTGTGTATGGTGGCTTGATTCAATCGTCCACACACTTTCTATACGGGAGGTATGACAATTTTGTTTGTTCTATTAGTTAGTTTGGGAGGAAGTTAAATCTAACATCCCCTTAAAAAAAAGTGTCATATACTTGTATATTCAATTAAATGTATAATGTCTTTTCTGTGTTCTACAAACCATCTAGAATAATTAATTGTTTGTATATTATCTAGAAACAAATCAACTCATAATAAATTTATCATTTGCAGATTTAAAGCAATTAGTCCTTTCGATAGTTTTGATAATATTCGTGTTCCTGTTACACCACCCATTGTGCGGATTTGTTTTTTTACTTTTCATTGACCTGTCATGACACTAGTAATGCACTAATCAATATACATTGAAATTGGCTCGATTTATCAACTAACAAAAAAGAGGAACAAATCCAAGGTCAGAGGTGAAAACACTTAAAACGAATACGCAAACAACGGTCACATCTATGGACAACAATCAACCGAATTGTAGGTTAACAGAGCAAATAACTAGTCAGTCACGGAGAAACCCTAATCACTCAGGACTTATTGAAATATCTGCTGATGATGTTATCAACAAGACAATGGAAGCTTCGTGATTAAACAACCTGACTCAGAGAACAGAACGCCATCAAAAAATTTCCTTTTGAAATTTATTAGCATCTTCAAGCTATAAACAATCCTAATGTATAGCATTCACTGCAAAATATGTGGAAACAAAGAAATATATTAGTCACTTAATAAAAAAACTGGGAGTTGTACAAGAAATCAAAAGTAAACATGCATCAAATAATAGATGAGGATGATCAGTATTACAATAAGATACGGAATTCAGGTTGTTATGATGAATGTTAAAGGACGTTTGGAAAGCTGGAAGTAGTGGACTGCCGTTTGGTCGTAGTATGGGACAGGTGAGCAGTACGCATTGAGGATCGCACACGTGCGACTGGAATTAGGGACCTTAGGTCTAACGCGTCAACGCCTAATCTATTGCTCCAACGTCCACCATCGCATTCATTTACAACACGTAATTATTTTCTACGATTTTAAAACTTGTACATATCATCATTTAATCCCGTTGATGGTCAGCTATTGTTGGCATAGTCTTTTTAAGCAATTTTAGTGTCATTCTTTTTGCTCTAAGGAATTTCGTATACCGTCCTTTCCGGGTCGTTTTCCTTTTTAGAAGTACAAGAAACGACTCTTGTTTGCAAGGTTCTGAAATCCCTAAATAGTGCATGAGCATGAGTATAATTTAAAGTCATGTGTAATTTTCCCACTTCGATTCCTTAATTCCCAAATTGTTAAGCGAAATTAAGAGGCCACAAGTATTCGGAGTTTGACAACACCTTAACTAGTAATATCTTTTATGATTGAAACGTACCGATACAGTGAAATCAGAAGTGAGGAGACTCGAAGATATATTCGATAAGTGACTAATCTAGGCTGGCTAGCGGTCATAGGAGAAATGAAGCACGGCGTACTCACTCGTGATCTGGTGCGGATGCATGACCAAGCGCCTTCAATCACCTAAGTCCATTAAAACTAAAGTGGTCAGCATCAAATATTGAAGACTTTCAGAGCTATTCATTTTGGGGATATATTTACCTCCACAACAGTATTAGAATCATTTCCAGTGGTCAATAAGGAAAGCTGACCCTAAAGCATTCTTAAATTTACTAGACCTAATATAGACGGTCCACCCTGAGTAATGAGAAATTTAAGATTTACCATTTCTGATTAACAGATTACAACATTCAATAATAGAAAGTTTGCGACCAGAAATACTAGAAATGGGAACTTTAGTAAGCACAATTATAGCACCAAGTTTTAATGGCTTCAACTTCCCAGTGAAAATAGACTGGACGCTGTCAATATCAACAATAACACCGAGAAAAGCACAACTGGACAGATATAATGGTTTTCAAATATTAAGTGGAAGTTGTAAATAAGGATAATATATGACGTAGAAGTTTACCGCAGGATAAACATCTTCCAAACGTGCTCACCATTGTAACCTGCTTTGTAATTATTTTTTGAATCACTCCTCATATTTCCACGAGAATAGAAGCCATTATCAAACAAAGGCGATCCTGAGTGTAGTTCATCATGAGGACTGAGCAAAGTTATAGATTTTCACCGACTGGAAATCCAGTTCATTTACTACCGTCTAGTTCATATAAGCAGTCCTAGCATCTTGAAGAGAACAGTTCGACGTTTGTGTATTGTGGTCATGTATCTTTTCGCAGGAATCGGGAATAAATCGATTACTTTTCCAGTTGATTCACCCTTCCTCTCTCGCGTGCTTGTCAGCCAATCAGGTGATAGAATAGTTTTCGTCTCTATCCAGGGCAGTTAGTCCCACTTCGAACTCACACGGTTTTAGCCTCAAGGTTGAACGAATCAACCTATCGTGTCAAGGTCTTAATCTAGATTGAAGCAAGTTATTTCCGGTATATTAGTAGGTAGACAGATCAAGATGTGACAGTATACCTCAAAAAATGAGAACCAGAATACTTTCTCAGATGAGGAAATTAAGATTAGCATATCAAGATCCCGTTATTCATAATTGACAACTTGAATTACTGTAGCTCAAATCCTGTTTATCTTCAAAAAATCCTTAAAGTCGAAATCACTATTTCAACAGACCTGAGTCCTATTATTTAATAAAGGAAGAATCGCATTATCAAGAAAATAATTCTTCATTAGCGAATGGACTCGGAAAAAAACGCTCAGTCGTAGTGGACATTTTATATATGATTTGCGCTTTCCCATTTACTCACGTTTAAGGTTTGCACATGGAATTTGACTCAGATAAATGACAACTTAGGAATTTATATTAAAGGTGTGAAAAGCAAAAATGAAGACCTGACAAACTACGAAAGCTATTCTTGGGGATATTATTTCATTAAATGCTAAGCCTGTAAAACAGCAACATTTATCTTTGCCCATAGTCTATTCTACAGATCATATGCTTTCACTTCATGTATGATTAACTGCCATAACCTTTCCTGTTCCAAGGCTATTGTGATTTAAACGTAATCTCTTGTACTCTATTTTCTACTCTAATCCCCAGCTTCGGACATCACTGTATTTTCGTAATTGTTTGGTTATTTATTCTCTGAAGAAGTGGCTTACACAATTTTATGTCCCGATAAGTATAATGAATGGTAACTGTTGAGATCTATTTATGGTCAAATACTATACATTTATTTTTATCGTATAATTATTAAATAACTAAACTATTTATATTCGTGTTCCTTTTACCATAAGCTTTATTTTGGCCTGAACTATTATTATGCGATTTGCCGTCCTTCATTTCTGACCTGTCTATCAATTATTACCTCCCATATTCACAGCCACTTTTGACTAAATATTGTACAAATGTTATTTTCTATTTTATGATACGATGTGGTCTGGTTGGTTTGTATACAAACCCAGTATGTTTGAAATACATGATTCATATCGCAGAGGCTGAGATTGGTGTTCTGGATTTAACTGACTGGGCTAGGCAGGAAGCAGGACCAATAAGTACTCTAGACTGCTCGCATGGGCTTTATGTGTTATTGGTCCGATCGACCAGTCACTGCTCCCTAATTGGCGGTATCATATTATACATTAGTAGGGCACAGACTACAAGTTACAACACGCTAAGTCACAAAATGTCAGGAAATCTAATTTTTCTACTCATCACGATATTACAAATATATTATTTATTTATAACAATCTACCCAATGCTCAATTTATTCGCTGAAAAATCCCCATTATATTAAAACAACAATTATTATTCAACACTCGCTATCAATGTTTTCAAGTATCCAAGTCCTCAGCCGATGATTATCTCACATAAGCTGGAAAAGTAGATTGAGAATGCGATCGATTTAAAATAAATGAAATTACAGCAGACCAGTTTAAATGTTTGATTTTTATCTGTGGTTTAAAGAATCCAGAAGATACCGATATCCGTACCAGGATTTTGGCAGGTATTGAGCAGGAACCGAATATGACTCTACAAATGGTCACTACCGAGTGTCAACGGTTATTAAATCTCAAACATGATAGAGCGATAGTGCAACAGAAGGCGAAACCTTCCGATTTCGGCTTAATAAATGCACTCAGATCCTTCAAATCTTCCAAACAAAGCGCGACAACTAGCAAACCACCGTCACCGTGTGGAGCATGACATTTTTTGAAATTATGCCCGTTCAAGGATCACAAATGCAACCGATGTCTACGCTTGGTCATAAAGAAGGCCACTGCTCATCAAATAAACGCCAATCTAAATATCGTAGCGGAAATGAGAAGCGACAGGCACAAGGTCAAATCAAAAGCATGTTCGCAACTTTCAAGGTTGGATTTCCAAGTGAACAGAAGTCAGTAAACTTATTAGTAAATGGAAAACCTGGTTATAGTTCTCTCTTATTACAACCCAGCTATTACTATTGCTTAGTATTCTTGGACACCAATTCACTCGACAAGTCCCCAAATCAGAACACGGTTGGACAGGAAAGAGGTTATATTCCGAATAACAAGGTCAGATGGAAGTAAGAAGCACAGTGGGGAAAACATTGGTATATTTATAGTTTTTACACGAGATTTCTGGAGTGTTCTCCAAGTATCGACTAGCGCTGAATGGGTAAGAATTAGACAATCAGCGTGCATCAAAGCAATCGTGTATTGAGCATGCTTTAATCCAGTCTATGTCCCGCTAACAAACCTGTACTTTGTTAGTTGGACACGGCTTCCGAAGTTACACTGATTTCCAAGAACACGTGACTCAAGCTGAGGTGCAAACGTATCTTATCAACAGAACATGTTGCCCGAAATACCTCAGGAGATAAAGTGAAGGTAACAGAAGTCATGTACAACGTACAATTCAAAGAACATAAGTTCACTGATGTTTGCTATTTGATGAGACAACATGATTTAGATCTATTAGGATTAGACTGTATTGAGAAGATTGATAATTTGAATAGTTCATTAAATGAGGTCTGTTCTCACAATCCTTCCTCTGAATTTCTTATGATATTTCTGTATCAAATGCCTCTAATGTATCATGTTCTCATGATATTCATGTATTAAATGCTTTCGATATGATATGTTCTCGTAATGATTTTAAATAAAATACTTCCGATGTAACATGTCCTCAAAATGATTACCAATCAAATGCCTCAAACAACGTATGCTCTCGTAAGATTTCAGAATCTCATTTATTTTATTCTAATATTATTGTCCATACCAAGGTCTCCGGTTACATCTCAAATCCCGACATCACGAAAAGAACCTTGGTCATGTGTACACATTGATTTGTCGGCCCATTCCAGGGTACTGTGGTGTTTGAATAAATTAATGATTCCATTGATTCCATTAATTCATTCAAACACCATATTCGCCACAGCTTAAATTGGAGTCTAAGTGTCTGTAATTGATTGTACGCCTTCTTCTTAAGTTCATACTGTGTCTAATGCTAATGAGTACATGCTAAATAATACAGAGTCTTTATCCAATACACTGTCGGACAGACAGAGGATGAATTTAAGAAGACGAACAATCAATTACAGATACTCAGAATCCAATTTAAGATGTGGCGAATATGGTTTTTCAATGAAA